GACCATTCAGGCTTGTTCGCATTTGTGTTCCTCACGTGTGCCCCAAAGAATGAGGTGATTTGGTAAAATGCTATGCCCAAGATTACTATCCGAGTGCCGGCGGTGGGGTGGTTCAAATAGCCTCGGCTATCACCTCATTTTGTCCGGTCGTGATGGTCAAGTGGATTAAGGCGTCTTGTACATACCAGTTGCGTTGCTCCTGGGAGTATGGGTTCGAGTCACTTCTGGGGTGTGAGTTTTCAGTTGCATATTGTCCTGGGGACCATTCAGGCTTGTTCGCATTTGTGTTCCTCACGTGTGCCCCAAAGAATGAGGTGATTTGGTAAAATGCTATGCCCAAGATTACTATCCGAGTGCCGGCGGTGGGGTGGTTCAAATAGCCTCGGCTATCACCTCATTTTGTCCGGTCGTGATGGTCAAGTGGATTAAGGCGTCTTGTACATACCAGTTGCGTTGCTCCTGGGAGTATGGGTTCGAGTCACTTCTGGGGTGTGAGTTTTCAGTTGCATATTGTCCTGGGGACCATTCAGGCTTGTTCGCATTTGTGTTCCTCACGTGTGCCCCAAAGAATGAGGTGATTTGGTAAAATGCTATGCCCAAGTTATCCGAGTGCCGGCGGTGGGGTGGTTAGGCTATCACCTCATTTTGTCCGGTCGTGATGGTCAAGTGGATTAGGTACCAGGCCGGCATATATGGGCACTTGTCAGCCTACTATCGATTTGCCTAATAGTTTTCATGAACTATTTGTTTTTCGACTACCTAACCTATAACCACCTAACTTTTTTGCTACCTAACCTAACCTAACATTAGGGTTGGTAGGTTCGGTTATATCTCGTTAATTTTTCAATGACCTTATACATAATGAATGGGTAGCTTTATCATTTCATAAGAAAAAAATAGGAAAATATATTAATTCAGGAAAACTTGGCTTATTAGGCAAATCGGGCCTTGTATAGTATATATATATATATATATATATATATATATATATATATATATATATATATATATATATCTTTATAGATTTATATTAAGCTGGTAGAGCTCCTCCTTGTCTCATCATCCCTGCGCCAGGTATAGAGGTACAGACAGCTGGTGTCATCATCCCTTCGCCAGGTATGGAGGTACAGACAGCTGGTGTCATCATCCCTGCGCCAGGTATGGAGTGTGTGACAGCTGGTGTCATCATCCCTGCGCCATGTATGGAGTGTGTGACAGCTGGTGTCATCATCCTTGCGCCAGGTATGGAAGTACAGACAGCTGGTGTCATCATTCTTGCGCCAGGTATGGAGGTACAGACAGCTGGTGTCATCATCCTTGCGCCAGGTATGGAGGTACACACAGCTGGTGTCATCATCCCTGCGCCAGGTATGGAGGTACAGACAGCTGGTGTCAGTATCCCTGCGCCAGGTATGGAGGTACAGACAGCTGGTGTCATCATCCCTGCCCCAGGTATGGAGTGTGTGACAGCTGGTGTCATCATCCCTGCGCCAGGTATGGAGTGTGACAGCTGGTGTCACCATCCTTGCGCCAGGTATGGAAGTACAGACAGCTGGTGTCATCATCCTTGCGCCAGGTATGGAGGTACAGACAGCTGGTGTCATCATCCTTGCGCCAGGTATGGAGGTACACACAGCTGGTGTCATCATCCCTGCGCCAGGTATGGAGTGTGTGACAGCTGGTGTCATCATCCCTGCGCCAGGTATGGAGTGTGACAGCTGGTGTCATCATCCTTGCGCCAGGTATGGAAGTACAGACAGCTGGTGTCATCATCCTTGCGCCAGGTATGGAGGTACAGACAGCTGGTGTCATCATCCTTGCGCCAGGTATGGAGGTACAGACAGCTGGTGTCATCATCCTTGCGCCAGGTATGGAGTGTGTGACAGCTGGTGTCATCATCCCTGCGCCAGGTATGGAGGTGTGACAGCTGGTGTCATCATCCTTGCGCCAGGTATGGAGGTACAGACAGCTGGTGTCATCATCCTTGCGCCAGGTATGGAGGTACAGACAGCTGGTGTCATCATCCCTGCGCCAGGTATGGAGGTACAGACAGCTGGTGTCATCATCCCTGCGCCAGGTATGGAGGTACACACAGCTGGTGTCATCATCCCTGCGCCAGGTATGGAGGTACACACAGCTGGTGTCATCATCCCTGCGCCAGGTATGGAGGTACACACAGCTGGTGTCATCATCCCTGCGCCAGGTATGGTCATCATCCCTGCGCCAGGTATGGAGGTACAGGTACACACAGCTGGTGTCATCATCTTGCGCCAGGTATGGAGGTACACACAGCTGGTGTCATCATCCCTGCGCCAGGTATGGAGGTACAGACAGCTGGTGTCACCATCCCTGCGCCAGGTATGGAGGTACACACAGCTGGTGTCATCATCCTTGCGCCAGGTATGGAGGTACACACAGCTGGTGTCATCATCCCTGTGCCACGTATGGAGGTACAGACAGCTGGTGTCATCATCCCTGCGCCAAGTATGGAGAGTGAGTCAACTGGATGCTGCATAAAACTCTCCTAAACCTTCCCAAGCTCATGATTCTGTCTGAAAATAATTGTCAAAAACATGACTATATAAAAAAAAAAAGTTCAAATATTGATTAAAAAAGTCCAAAAATTTTTCGAATTGAACGGACTCAATTATAAATATATGTTTATAATTGTCAGAAACAGTCCTGGTCCTGACTGAGGGCTCTATATACATGTAAACAAGTTACAAGTGATGCAAGTTAGATATAAATCACCATATATAAGGATCCCGTGTCACTCCAAAGTTATTTTTTAGATACATTTTGGTCTTTATTTTAAAGAAATCTGTAAACGTTGCATTCTTTTAAGTCTCAAGAAAATCTGGTAATAATTGCGAGTTGCTAACTAGTATTTTTCATGCTCTGAGCATAAAATATAAGATAAATATAATACAAAGTATTATAAAGTATTAGAAAGAATATACAAAGTCAAGTTCTATAATTATAAGTAACATTCTTGAGGACTTGAGACGCGGTATTTTTGCCGGGAAAATTCAAATATCAAAACACTGTTTTCTTTAAGGTTTTCAGGAACTTTTCCGACAGTTTCCATCGGATTTTGATGAAATTTTCAAACATGACAGAAATCAAGAAATTTTTGCAATTCACTTTCAGGTAATTATGAACATAATAACTTTTTTTTTTAATTAAGGTGTATGTTTATTTAAAAAAAAAATAAAGAATGCCGAGTATTTAAAAACATAAATTAGTCAACTACAGAACTTTGGTCTTTCCAATGACATCAGAACAACTTTCCAGATTCCCGCCCAAAGGTCGGCCATCTTGGCGCGCGGATTGAACGCTCCTGGCTGGACTTTCTTTCCACACTTTATCTGGAGCTCATCTATGAATTCAGCTGGCTTCTTTGGGCCAGTGTGTGCTCACTGCAGCTACCCAGGGGCTCACAGCACTGGGGTAGGCCGGAGCCTCCCTAATGGACGCCTCCCCGAGTGAGGGCGCCATGTATGTTGACAGCAAGTCCCAGAGAGGAAAACATCTGCTGGAAAATGAGTCGGCTGATGCTGCCCCAAAGCGAGATGCTAAGAGGATGTCTTCGCCTTCAGAAGACCGTAGTCATGTGGTACCCCGTTCCTCGTTTGTGGTTGTCCTAATCCAGTCAGAATTAGGTCAGTGTATGTTTGCTAATCCTCGTACCTTAGGTGCAGCAATTGAGGCTTCGGTATTGTGGCAATATTGCCTGCCCTGGTATGTATATGCCCAGGTATGCCCGAGACCATACGTACACTGGGTTGGGGTGCAGCACTGAAGCTACACATCAGAAAGGAGGCTCTATCACACATCCGTGTATCCGACATTATTAAGTTGGGGGACTGGCCTGTCAGGTGCCTACAGGTATTGTCACAGGAGGAGGAGTCTCGGGCCCGGTATGGGAAGATAGGCCTAATTGGCCAGAGTGTTGATGTGGATGACATCCAGGCCGCTCTGCAGGTGTTAGGGGGTGCATCAGCGGGATTATTGGAAGTTACCAGGATTCGCAGAGCAGCAAGGCCGACATCAATGGTCCGTGTAAAGTTCGATGGGCACCTCCCTAACCGGGTGGCACTACACAGGACCTCGTATCAGGTCCAGCCCTACAACTTCCCTGTGTTACGATGTTATGCTTGTCATCTATTGAGCCACAGTCGCCTGACATGCCGTAATGCAGCACGTTGTGCAAACTGCGGCAAAACAGCCCATTCAGACAGAGATAACGGTAGGTGCTCTGCTGCACCTCGCTGCTTTTTATGCTATGGCCATCATAAGGTTACGACCAAGAATTGCCCTGTATATCTTGAGGCCCTCCAGTTGGACATCGATCATAAAACAGTGGGGACCCCTCAACAGGAGCTGTTCCAGAGGCTGCGTGCCCTCAATCAGCCTATCGCTTCTTCTCGCCTCCAGGTTCCCCCTGGTCGGGCCTCTTCACAAGTAGGAACTAGCAGACGCTCTTACCTGTCCCAGTCACATGCCTCATACGCCCAGGCTGCTAATCGATTTTCCCTCCTGGGTAGCCTTGACACTGACGGAAACTCATCCACGGATACAGACATGGACGCTCAGTCTCGGCCAGAGCCCGGCACTCGTCACCCTCCTGCCTCTCCCCAAAGAAGCCAACACTGGCGTCGTCGACACACCCATCGATCAAGAGGTACTGCTCCAACAGATAGCCCTGATGATCCTCTGGTCCCCCAGACACTTTCCCAGGGGATTGTGACACCGGTGGAACACGAGGCCCAGAGTGAAGCACCCACCAGTCGCAGGCGCCGTCAAGAGAGTTCGCGAGCCGATCACCGCTTCCGTAAGGCAGAGAGAAGCATTGATCAACATCCTCTGGACTGGCTGACATTGATACCACACATTTTACTTACTTTGTATGAGGGTTTTATGGCTTTTTCTAGTGGTTCCCCCTTTGGAGACGTCTGTGCACAGGTGGTCAAAAAGTTAGCTGTTGTATTTCAGGGATAATGGCGCCCCATCCTGAGAATACTGCGGTGTTTTGGAATGCCCGCTCCCTTTTTAAGAAGACGCAATTTCTACGCAATTTTATCGCCAGCGCACCACCGTTGATCGTGGGACTCTGTGAGACTTGGCTTACTGACGATCTTTCCTTCACAGTGCCGGGGTATTCGGTCTATAGACAAGATCGGCCAGTACGGGGTAGAGGGGGACTTGCTCTCTTGGTCAGGTACTCAGTTCCCAGCTCCTTGCTCCGAATTCACTCCTTCCCGGGTGGGCATTTAGAATTCATGGCAGTGAAGGTGGCCCTCTCCCATGGGTGGGGCACCTTTGGAGTTCTGTATAATCCCTGTCTACCGGTAATGAAGAAGGAACTAGAACACTATTTTGGTCAGATCACAGACACCTGCCTCGTCATGGGTGACTTTAACGCTCGGCACTCATCATGGCAATCTATGCTATCAGATCGCCACCACAACATGGCTGGCCGAGCCCTACTTCAGTTTCTCCTTGACTCCTTGACGCCGCCAGATTTGGGAACTCTGACAGACCCGCTAAATGGACATACTTCAACGCTCGATCTTTGCATTGGAAGAGGCCCCTTCATGATGGCGCAGATATGGACCTGGCCGTACCTGGGTAGTGATCACCTGCCCATCATCATTTCCTTCGGGGGTACTGTTCGTCCTGCTCTGACCTCCCGAAGATCCAAATGGATCTTCTCGGAAGAGGGGTGGCATGGCTATGAGGCGGATGACTGGTCGACCCTTCCCGCAGTAACTGTAGATCTGCATGGGTCAGCGGATGCTCTCTCCGAGTCCCTTTTCAGTGTAGGCTCTCGGCATTTCAGGAGGACTAGTGGCCAGACAACCAATCCTTCCCACCATGGGGCACTGTGGTGGAATCCTGAATGTCGGCAGGCAGTACTGGACCGGGGACGTACGTGGAATTCGTGGCGGCGCCACCCTACTCCACTGCAGCGGCAGACCTTCTGCAGGGCGGACGCCAGGTGTAGACGAACAGTCCTCCTTGCCAAACGCAAGGCCTGGGCTGATTACTGTGCCTCTCTCTGATTCGACTCCTCTGCGGGAGCCTGGGACTTTGTTCGCAAGATGACAGGTAGGTACTCCCAGCCTTCCATCCCACTCAGAGGCCCCAGTGGTAATGGGGGCCTGGGGGGAAGCACAAATAGTCGAACTCTTGGCTGACCACTTTGAAGATGTTTACCGTTCCCCGCTCCTTTCTGTGAGTTCTATAGGATGGGACTCCCGACAGGGTATAGGACTAGCTCAGGACCTGGATCATCCATTTACATCTGTTGAGCTGAAGGACGCTCTGTCACTCTCTAGGTCGGGCACTATGCCAGGGATAGACAACGTCCCATATAAATTTCTTCGGAGGGCACCCAAGATCCTTCAGTCCCACCTCCTTCACTTCTACAACGCCTGCTGGTCCTCTGGTGTCTTCCCTGCCCCGTGGAAACACGCCATTCTTCTACCATTGGCCAAGTCAGGGAAGGATCCGTCTGTCCCGAGTTCATATCGGCCCATAAGTCTGCTTCCATGTCTCGGGAAACTGATGGAACGTCTTGTTCACACCCAGCTACAATGGGTGGTGGAAACCTCAGGTCTTCTACCAGAGGGTATCAGTGGATTTCGGCCTGGAAGAAGCACAATGGACTGCCTCCTCTCCTTGGAACATCGAATAATGGACACTTATCGCCAGAAAAGAGTGCTCCTTGCGGCATTCTTCGACATCAAGAGTGCATTTGACTCTGCGTCTCATTCTGCTGTCCTTCAGAGTCTGGCTCGACTAGGTCTCTCGGGTCCGGCGTTGAGGTGGTTCCAAAACTATCTACAGGGCCGCTCATTCAAAGTAGCGGTTGGTGGAGTCGTCTCTACGTCCCACCCTGTCTCACGTGGTGTCCCCCCAGGGAGCGATTCTGAGCCCACTATTATTTTCTATTCTTCTGTCTGATCTCCCTGTATTCTGGGGGGTCCAGGTTTTAGCCTATGCCGATGATGTAACCCTCGTGGCGGATGGTGCCACTCTCCTAGAGGCACAAGGCTTCCTGCAAAATGCCGTGTTCTCAGCAATTGTGCTGGGGAAGGGTCTCTCCATTAACCCTGTGAAAAGTTGCGTCACGAGTTTCACCTGGACCCGCTTACCAGACCAACCAGTGGTGACCGTCGGGGGCTGTCGTCTCCCAATCGCTACGGAACACAGGTGGCTGGGGGTCGTTCTAGATAGCCCTCGGGTGACGTGGAGGCATCATGTGGACTACCTTCGGGCCTCATGCCTTTGTCGCGGAAACATCATGAAACGGCTCTCTGGTGCGGCATGGGGGCTTCACAGGAGTCGCTCCTAGCTCTCTATAAGGCCTTCATTCGAAGCAAGATCATGTATGCGAGTGAAGTCTATGGCTCAGCAGCAGCATCTGCCTTGGCAAGGCTGGATCCCATTCAAAATGGTGCCCTTCGCTCAGCGCTAGGAGCTATGCCCTCCTCGCCAGTTCTTTCTCTCCATGCCGAGTCGGGGCTATGGCCCCTGAGCTTTGAACGTCTTCTCATCCACTGCCGCCAATTCCAACGGATAGTGCGTCTCCCTGCTACCCATCCACTTACTCGCCTCCATCTCGAGGATAACTGGTGGAATGTGCCGACTGGACACTCCTGACGTCGTCAGTTGCCTTTCGTCGTCCGGGCCTTGGATGCATATTCACAGTTTTCCCATCCCGTCCCTGTACTCACCCCTGGCCCGATCATCTCATCGGTGCCTCCGTGGACAGAAGAGCTCATTCGGGTTTCTTTCGACTTTTCCAAGCCTCCTCATCGGAAGAGAGATTTAGAGGGTTTGGCCCCTTTAATTTTTGCAGACCTACGAGCCTCCTTATACTCTGGATACTTGGAGGTTTACACCAATGGGTCCCGCAAAGATCAACCACCATCTACATCTGCAGCAGCATACTTTGCTCCTTTTTCCTTCTGTCAAACGTGGAAACTCTCCTCTGCTCATTCGTGCCTGGCTGGGGAACTGTTTGTAATCTTACTAGCCTTATGACTCCTTCACAAGTTTCAGGGCCCTTTGCAGTCGTTTTCTACGTGGACTCAGTTACAGCCCTGCATCTCATATCATCTCGGCGTCCACGAGTCCATCGTCATACTGTGTCACAGATCCGTGGAGAACTGCTGTCATACTCTGGTTCTCCGGGTTGGTCTATCTATCTCCAATGGGTTCCATCACATGTCGATATTAATGGCAATGAGGTGGCCGACGCAGCAGCAGCAGGGATGGCGCATGCTCTCCATGACTACAAATGTGCCTCTAGACCTTTCCGAAATTCTCCCGCAACTCCGGGCGGCTTGCCTCGCGAGTTGGGAGGCAATGATGGAGCCAGCACTCAGGTCCTCCTCTCTGGTGGGTCTCCGGGAAGACTCCTCCCCGCGTCCATGGACTCGTCATCATTCTCGACTCCTCGACACTGCCATCACTCGTTTCCGGATTGGGCACACCTGCCTGGCCGCACATCTCCATCGTCTACGGCTGGTAGATTCCCCATACTGCCAGTGGTGTCCGACCCAGGAGGATACAGTGAAGCACCTTCTTCTTCACTCCCCTCGATTTCATAACGCTCGTGTCAGACTACAGAGTGCCGGTCGTAGGCTGAATATTCCCCGCCTCACAGTTCCCGTTCTCCTTGACTGGGCAGGTGCGAGAGACGAAGATGTCCGTCATGACATCCTTCGCCATACCTTTCGCTTCATCCGTCATGTCCGTTGCCTGAAGAGACTGTAAAGTTTGTCGCCTGAGGAGTTTGTAGGGTCTATGGCCTGAAGAGACTATAGGGACCTCATCCCTCCGCTATTTCCCGGTATCGGGCAGCCGGGGCGCATCCGATCCCACGATCGTCGTCGCCCCTAAATCAACACAACAACATCAACAACTTTCCAGTAACAGTACTAGAAACTGAACATAAAATAAAAATAAAATAAACTTTTGTTTAATTATATTATTTGAATTAGTATACATTGATACAAATTGTGCAACGGTTTGAATAGTGTAGAGAACAAGCGGAGTACGCTGCTTATGTGTATATATATACACCCGTCTTCTCTGTGTATATAAGTGACTGGGGGTTGGTTGGGGGTTGGTGCCCTGTGACTGTGTGTCTGAGGGTTGGTTGGGGGTTGGTGCCCTGTGACTGTGTGTCTGAGAGTTGGTGCCCTGTGACTGTGTGTCTGTGGGGGTTGGTGCCCTGTGACTGTGTGTCTTGGGGGTTGGTGCCCTGTGACTGTGGTCTGAGGGTTGGTGCCCTGTGACTGTGTGTCTTGGGGGTTGGTGCCCTGTGACTGTGTGTCTTGGGGGTTGGTGCCCTGTGACTGTGTGTCTTGGGGGTTGGTGCCCTGTGACTGTGTGTCTTGGGGGTTGGTGCCCTGTGACTGTGTGTCTTGGGGGTTGGTGCCCTGTGACTGTGTGTCTTGGGGGTTGGTGCCCTGTGACTTGGGGGTTGGTGCCCTGTGACTGTGTCTTGGTGCCCTGTGGGGTTGGTGCCCTGTGACTGTGTGTCTTGGGGGTTGGTGCCCTGTGACTGTGTGTCTTGGGGGTTGGTGCCCTGTGACTGTGTGGTCTTGGGGGTTGGTGCCCTGTGACTGTGTGTCTTGGGGGTTGGTGCCCTGTGACTGTGTGTCTTGGGGGTTGGTGCCCTGTGACTGTGTGTCTTGGGGGTTGGTGCCCTGTGACTGTGTGTCTGAGGGTTGGTGCCCTGTGACTGTGGTCTGAGGGTTGGTGCCCCTGTGACTGAGGGTGTGCCCTGTGACTGAGTCTGGTTGGTGCCCTGTGACTGTGTGTCTTGGGGTTGGTGCCCTGTGACTGTGGTCTGAGGGTTGGTGCCCTGTGACTGTGTGTCTGAGGGTTGGTGCCCTGTGACTGTGGTCTGAGGGTTGGTGCCCTGTGACTGTGGTCTGAGGGTTGGTGCCCTGTGACTGTGGTCTGAGGGCTGGTGCCCTGTGACTGTGGTCTGAGGGTTGGTGCCCTGTGACTGTGGTCTGAGGGTTGGTGCCCTGTGACTGTGGTCTGAGGGCTGGTGCCCTGTGACTGTGGTCTGAGGGTTGGTGCCCTGTGACTGTGGTCTGAGGGTTGGTGCCCTGTGACTGTGGTCTGAGGGCTGGTGCCCTGTGACTGTGGTCTGAGGGCTGGTGCCCTGTGACTGTGGTCTGAGGGTTGGTGCCCTGTGACTGTGTCTGAGGGCTGGTGCCCTGTGACTGTGGTCTGAGGGCTGGTGCCCTGTGACTGTGGTCTGAGGGCTGGTGCCCTGTGACTGTGGTCTGAGGGCTGGTGCCCTGTGACTGTGGTCTGAGGGTTGGTGCCCTGTGACTGTGGTCTGAGGGTTGGTGCCCTGTGACTGTGGTCTGAGGGTCTTGGTGCCCTGTGACTGTGGTCTGAGGGCTGGTGCCCTGTGACTGTGGTCTGAGGGTCTGGTGCCCTGTGACTGTGGTCTGAGGGCTGGTGCCCTGTGACTGTGGTCTGAGGGTTGGTGCCCTGTGACTGTGGTCTGAGGGCTGGTGCCCTGTGACTGTGGTCTGAGGGCTGGTGCCCTGTGACTGTGGTCTGAGGGCTGGTGCCCTGTGACTGTGGTCTGACTGTGGTCTTGGTGCCCTGTGACTGTGGTCTGAGGGTTGGTGCCCTGTGACTGGGCTGGTGCCCTGTGACTGTGGTCTGAGGGCTGGTGCCCTGTGACTGTGGTCTGAGGGCTGGTGCCCTGTGACTGTGGTCTGAGGGTTGGTGCCCTGTGACTGTGGTCTGAGGGTTGGTGCCCTGTGACTGTGGTCTGAGGGTGGTGCCCTGTGACTGTGGCTGAGGGCTGGTGCCCTGTGACTGTGGTCTGAGGGTCTTGGTGCCCTGTGACTGTGGTCTGAGGGTTGGTGCCCTGTGACTGTGGTCTGAGGGCTGGTGCCCTGTGACTGTGGTCTGAGGGCTGGTGCCCTGTGACTGTGGTCTGAGGGCTGGTGCCCTGTGACTGTGGTCTGAGGGTTGGTGCCCTGTGACTGTGGTCTGAGGGCTGGTGCCCTGTGAC